CAAGTTGGAGGACTCCATGACTATCAGGAGGAGGAGAACTTCACATCCCGTGAAGATCTCTAAGCGCTGCGGAGCCTATTGGACCCAGTGTGTATATCAAGAAGACTATAGGGGTCTGATCAGCCTCTCCCCGTTGCCGCCTGATCCCTCGACGTACCCTTCCCTGCGCGCAAGTTCCACGGAGCCTAGCAAACTTCGTGTGAGTGAATCCAGAGCTCTACCCAGGGTTCGAGTCCTGCAGTTTTTTTCTTCCTGTCGCCGAAACCCCCGTTGCGACGTACTCTCGAGGTTTTTGTTCATCTCCCGTCACCGAAACCCCATTGCGACGTACCCTTATGTTCTGCAGGTTCGAGTTTTGTTTTGTAACCGCAACTCAAGCAAGTTTTCCTGCCTGCACTGCGACCATCTTCGGTGTAAGTAAAATGATCTTAAATCAACCACTAAGCATCCGTGCCTAATTCTAGCGTGCCGCCTGTCTTCCCCGACCCGGCGTGTCCAGGCTGCTGGCCACAGCCCGCCGCGCGAGAGAAAACCCCCGAGGGCCTCGGACCACTCCTGGCCTGCACAGATCCTTCTAAAAAGTCCAGGTCAAAAAGCAGGAGAAGAGCTTCTCAACTATGTGGCTTGTTTTTCTGTGAGGCTTCCTTTGAACATCTTTATCATTAGGTTAGACCATATCTGTTGTTGTTGTTGTTGTTGTTATTATGTTTCTCCCTGGCCTAGAGCCATTACTTTGGGAGGTTCGTTTGCTAAACTTGTCTTCAGTTCCTGCTCCTAATTGGAGTTCTTTCTCAATACCTTCTGTTTGAGAACTGCTAGTCTTAAGGCAGTATGTTTCTCCTATCTTTGTTCAAGGGAAACACCATGTAGATGTCTGTTGTCACCTACAGTACACAAACGTACACAGGTGGGTACCCGCTTAGATAGAAAACATTCCAAAGGAAGTGGAGGGGAAAGAGAACTTCAGATGCCCTATTTCTTTATTGTTGACCTGAAATTGCTCTGATTTTCAAGTCTGATATTTGCCCTGCAATTCAAACATGGAAGACCTTTGTACAGGATACAAAGTAGTTTGTTCCTGAGCAGCTGCCTATGGGTGAGAAATATCACATGAACAATAAAACGGGATAAAATTGCATAATGCTGGCAGGCACGCTCTGGTTTTTAGTGCCCAGCTGAGATGTGGCCTGTGCAAGGCCCATTGCTAAGAATAACGGTTTGGAAAGAGGCAAATGTACAACTCTGTGTTAATTTAACAAGGTGGGGGCTGTGTTTTGAGCCATTTAAATGTTTACTTTTTGAGGGAACAGACCTATGGTAAGAAAAAATAAGAAGCCTAACCTGAATAATAGCTTTGGATCCTCCACTCCCCCCAAAACCCCATCTAGATAGCTTGTGTCTCTTGACATAGCACTTGGTGATGAGTTCCCCCCTGGTAATGCATGTTTGTCAAGAGCATGAGGCTGGGGCACTCTCACACTCAGAATTGTAACGTGCTGTTCTGAATCATAAATGGGTGCATGTAATTTTTAAATGTTTCTACTTAGCTTGCTTTTGACCATTAACCATACTGAAATATTGACACAGATGTGGGACTACAGAGATGTCTCGGGTTCATGCTTGTACCTATTCCCAGCATGTCTTCTGAATTATTATTTGCTCAGTGTATAGTCAGCAAGCTGATTCCTGTCAGTGCTGCAGAGCTGCCTTCTGTCAACAAAATCCAATCCAGTTCTGTCTCCAGGCCCTCTGTTGTGATGGATGAGGTAGGAACACCTCTTTAGTTTTTAGATACCCAGCTGATTGTGCAGCATTGACAGTTGGGGGGGGGAGGAAACATGTTTTGAATTGAAAACTAAGCAGACCTGATGGTAGAAGCTACTGATGGAAACTGAAAATGGGACCTGAAAATGACATTTCTCTGACCACTTAAAACTAAAAACAGCTTCTGGTATTTTTTTGTACTTCTTACCTTGGAGTACAATCCTTGCATTTTAATCCTTGTTCTTGGCAATGCTGTTTCTGCTTTGGAATAAATTCTGTCTCCTCTTATGGACATTTGTAGGATAATTTAGTCCTGTTATTGGGTCCAAAATATTCCCAGAGCTGCCTTGCCCCTTGGGTGATGGGGACGGATGTGCCCAAGTGATGATAAATGTTTTGTACTTGAGGTAGAAGAGAGGGATTTGTATGTGATGTCCTGGTGGAAGGCGAGTTCTCTCTGAGCTCCAGGAAATGGATTGCTAGGTGTCTGATATTGAATAGTTCCTCGGTGCTAATGCCTATCTATGTCCCTGCCACTGGAATAGGAAATCATGTTGAAATTTTGTCCCAACCTCTTCAGCCTAGGTAGAAAGCTCCAAGTTCACAAGATCCCAGTTAGTGACCTGCTGAGCACTCCTGCAGTCTTTCCTGCATTATATTTCTGAATACACTTAGCTCGATATGTTTCTGAACTGAATCATGTTAACTTCTCACACCTGAATAAGAGAAGGTCACTGTGACTTCTGTCAGTGACTCTCCTTTCTCTTTGCTTAACTGAACTGACCATACTTCATCATTAGTGCTTCCTGTGGCCTACTGTTCTCTCCCTTCTCTTGCAAAGAACTGATTTATTCTGGCTCCAGGGTTTCCATTGTCTCTCCCTCCTGTTTGTTCTTTGTTCCCCTTTCTTGCCACTCTGTCCTCCTCCCCAGTTTCCTGTGGTGTCTCTCCCCCTCCATTTCCTTTTCCTTTCTTCTTACCACCTTGTTGCTGAGTGCCTCTGGAAAAACCCCAGGAATCATCCTGATTTCCTCCCCTACAAATCAGTCTCTGCTGCCTTCAGCTCTATCACTTTTTCCTCCCTCACTTGCATGCTTATAGCCCTCATCATTTTTGGTGTCTCCTTATATCCATTCCACCACCACCATGTACTATATTACTTTTCAGCCCAGGATTTTACCCATTTTTTTTCCATCTGATATGAGCTCTCTGTCCAGTCCTTGCTCCCTCTAGCCCTGTCCTTCATCCTTGGGACCAGCTCTGAGCTTTTTGAGGCAGAGGCCATCTTTTTGTTTTATTATGAGCACAATTTGGCCTGGATCTATGACAGAAGCTGTAGATGCTACCACATGCTATTACTACTCCTGAGTTGTCTTCATACTGTTCATCTCTAACCTCTTGACTATATCTTTGCAATTATTTCTCCACTCTTGCCCCTTGGTCTTAATCAGACTCTCATTCTGCTTTTCATTTATATCTGAACATACCACTGTCTCATTTATCTTACAAAAATACTTTTTCCTCTGTGCTTCCTGCTTTTCTAGCTTCCAACCTGGTTGTCATCCCTGATCTTCCTCTCCCATTTGCCCATTTGCAGAAGGGTACACTGTTTCCAAAACTCATTACCTTTGTAATCTCTCATTTTAGAATTGGGAGGACTTCACCCTCCTTCTTGCTAGCTTGCATGATGGCCATCTTGCTCTCCTGTGTTCAAAGATGCTACAAAAACCTATCTTCTTCATCTACTTTATCACATCCCTCTGAGTCCCTTCCTGGGCTTTGTCACACATCATTTCCTGTTCAAACTCTTCATACTTACATGAAGATATGTAGCCCTATGTACAACTGTTGACCTTTTGGGAATATCTTTATTTTCAGTTTTTTGTTTATGGATAGTCTGTGTATTTGACTGCTTTAATTTTAAATAGTACATTGTAGCACAATGGTCTTAGTCCAGCTTGTGATCTCAGCTGGCAGGTGTCCATATTTTAAAACATCATCCTGGTTGGGACTAACGGGCACAGATGTTAGCAGAGGTGATGATTAGTAGTTGACTACAATTGGATGCAACTCTCTATTTTCCTCACCCAGTAACAGTGGCCCCCTCAAATTTCAGTGGGGGCACTTCCATGAAGAAGCTTGCATTACTTCTGGCTTGTTATCTTATATTACAGAGAGGTGCCTGGATATTGAAACCTTCCATTTTTCTCAGGCACTGCCTTTAAAAAGAAGGTATTTTAAGGGGTTTGCTTCTAGATTTCCCAATGTTTTTAATGTTACACTGTAATGAATCTGCTTGCATTAGCTGTTTGGGAAAATAGGGAGTATGTGTTTGGTATGTTTAGAGAGCACTGAACAACGTGCAGTGAAGTTGTCCAATGGTCCCTCTCTCTTATTTTCTTTGGTAAGATGAAAATATTAAAATGTGGAGTGGAAGTGTGACAGCTTTTGCAAAATAAGATTAATCTTTGGCATCCCAAAGCAGCTAAGCTTATTTATTTTCCTCTATCACATTGAGATTTGCAGTGAAGTGATTCTTGGTTTTGGATTCTTCCAACATAGATTAATAGATGTTGGAGACTAGAAGGGACCTCTTGAGATCATCAGGTCCAGCCCCCCTGTGCTTGGGCAGGAAAGACTTTGGCGGTCATACGACCCCAGCAAGGTGAACGCCCAGACTCTGGATATCTTTTAAAAAAAAAAAAAAAAAGAGTAGATGATCATACCACTTCTGGGGAATTGAGACCATCAAACCAATACTAAGATGAGATGGTTTACAAATGCTGATATTGGCTTTCAATGTCACAAGGAGAGTCCTTTCTTATAAGGTAAGATGGATGTCAGCATGAGGCCTCCAAAAGCCTGTTTATCATTAACATTCTTCAGTTCTGAAAGCTGCCTATTGGGGCTTTCCTTGTAGGGCCTGGTGAAAAGCAGTGGTAGAGTAGGTCCTTTTAACCCCTCCCTATTAGAGTGGAAGGAAAAAAAAAAAGGCCTCTGAATTAAGAGAGAAAAGGCAGTGCTACTCAGTAAAATATAGGGTAGCAAGGAATGCTTGGAGTCATTATAACAGCTCTTAAGTGGAAATGCCTCTCATCACAAATAGCACCAGTCTGGGGGTGAGATTCCAAGTGCCTCTTCTCCCAAACCCTGCTAACATAGGCATAGCATTATAAACTCCAGTCCTATGTGCATTCTTACACACTGATTTCTCTTTTTGTCTAACTGTGTTCTAGGTACCCGAATCATCTATGACCGCAAGTTTTTGTTGGATCGCCGCAACTCTCCTATGGCTCAGACCCCACCATGTCATCTCCCAAATATTCCAGGAGTCACCAGTCCTGGCACTGTGGCTGAGGATTCCAAAGTGGAAGTAAACAATCTGAACAATCATGATGGGAAGCCTGCAGTGGGTAAGAGTGTGGATGGTGGCAATGGCTGTTACTGCATTTAACTTCCAGTATAGCTTTACCAGATCTTAAGCTGAGAGGGGATGACGATAGTGGTGGGCTTATTGCAAATAGCTACAGCATGAAATTAACATGTAGATTTCCTTCCTCTAAGTGACCGATGTAACCAGTATAACCACACTGCAGAATCATATTACAATGACACTAAGTTATAGAGACTGCAAAATAAACTGGTCTAGTTTTAGTTTCAGAAATATTTAACTTGTATATGGCTTTACTCTTCCCCCAATGAAACATTTTGTCCTAAAGCTATGAAATTAAAGAATTATCTTTTAGATATTTACAGCAGTCTGTCACTTGCATATGAGCACTTTCCACACAAAATCATTGGTCATCATGAAATGGATCTGACCTGTGCAGAGAGACCCTCAGCTAGCTCTGTATATACTAGCCATGATAGCTGCACTTTCAGTGAAACTGCTGCTGCTCCACAGTTAGCATGTTCAGAGCTAGTTTTGATGTCTGCAGTATACCGTACAAAGAGACTAGGCTGCAGGACTTCCCCATGAGGGAAAAGGGTTGTGTGGTAGAGCTGTAGGACTGCTTGTGCTGGGGGAGCCATTAAACTGCCTGTAGGAGTGGGGAGATGGGAGGACTGTGGATCTACAGTGTGTAGAGCAGGGCAGATCTAGCAGCAGCTTCAGGCAGAAGCAGGTTCCACAGCCCACCTTCCACCCTGTCATAGACAATGGGTCACTCAAGTAATCTCTTTTTCCTTCTTCTTTCCTCCTTAATGAGCTATGGACTAGCAAAATTAATTAGCATGCATGGTGCTGTAAACATATGTAGGGAATCATTAATCTAGGCAGTAACAAGCACAAGAGTTTGTATTAAAATTGGGCCATTAATGACTTCTACAAATGAAAAACATTGACCAAAAAACATGAGTCTAGTGGTTTTATAGCTAGGAACTTAAACGAGCTGTCGTTTTAACACCCTCACACTTACATTCAGAGTGACTGCTGCATGTCCACAGCCTGGGTTTCTACAGCAGATAATCTGTTTTGTTCCAGCTACCATGCTGAGTTAATTAAAGGGCATATCTGATGGCAATATATATGTAAAAATAAAAACAAAGTATGGTTAGGAAGTGGGTGGAGGAAGTTTCTCCTTCCTCTTTGAGGACTTGTTGAGATCTCTGTCTAGCACTGCTCTCATTATTTTTCTTTTTCCAGGGGATGATGCTCAGTTTGAAATGGACATCTGATCACCACCGAGGCTAACCATGGAGAAGCAGCAACTCCTGATTACCTGTGCATATGTGATTTGGCTAATAGGATCAGTAATCAAAAGTTGGAAGAAGCAGCAGCAGTTTCCATTAGAATCCCCACTTTGCCTTCCAGGTGCCAAAGGATAAGACCAGGTCACCAGTCCTGTTCCTCTTTTTTTTTTTTTTTTTTTTTCTTTTCCTCCCTCTGCATTTGCCTATGACTGGATGGAAGCCCTTGTCAAATTTAACTGAGCTGAGGAACATGCCGAGTGCAACCTTGGCTTCTCGCACTTTAAAGGCAACCTGTCAAACCATGCACAAGCGAGAACATACCTCCAGCCCCAATTCGATATTTATTGTAAACAACAAAGGGGCCAGGGAGCAGTTAGTTTATGCTGAGTGAATATGGCATTGCTCCTTCCTGCTCCCTTTCTTCAGCTTGATCCCAGCTCACAAATGGCTTGTGTGTGCACAGTAAGTAACTGTGTCTCAGATGCTTTGTCATTCAAGTTTTAGAAATCACAAGGAGTAGTGGGAGATAGTAAAGGGTCTGCTCAGTCTGAGCTCCTTCACCTCAATGGGCAGAACACTCATTTCACCTGTGTTCTAGCCCTTCCTCTCTCCATAACTCTGTTTGCAATGTGTCTTGCAGCGGTAACATGCATTCTCTCTTCAGATGAGAGAGAGCCTTTTAATTTGTTGTTTTGCACCTCCTTGGTTCCCCCTGCCCCAACTTCCTGTTGAATAATGCTTTTTAATATCATGTGTATTTGGAGAGAGGCATCAACTTGGTATACTGCTGCTTCCTCCTCTGCCCACCCCAAAGGAAAGCCATCCACAAACTCCAGTTTGCAAAAGCCTAACTCGTTTGCCTCCTGAGTGTTTTTGATGAATAAGTCCATCGGCCCGAAATCAAAAGAGCTTTTGGAGATATAACGGGAGGGGGCGCAGATTATCAGTTCTCTTCTATGCTGTTGATCCTCAGCACTTTTTTTCCTCTTTTTTTGCCCCTTAATAGTTTATCTTGCTTTCTCTCCTAGTCCACGTTGTAGACTATTATATTAAAGGTACTTCAGCAGTTGTTCATTTTTGACACCTCCCGTCCTATGTGCATCAGGAGCAGTATTTTTTCCCAGTACTGGTTTTAATAAATATGTTTAATATTAACCCTTTCAGAATCCCTCCCATCAAAAGGAAAAAATTGCCAAGTGGCTTCTGAATGGCAGCAGGTCTGATCCAAACTTACACTATCCTTCCACTCAAAGTTCACAGTGCTGCTTTAGTTTGCTAGCTCCATTATTTTTTCCTCCAAGCCTCTCTTATTTTGGGTTTGCTGCCTAAGAGTTTTACAAGTCGGCCAATATAAATGAGCTTCTGCGAATGGGTGATTTAATTTAATTTTTTTAAGTCTCATGATCTCCAGTGCTTACTCCTGTCTCTGTTTTACAGAAGGGGTTGGTAGGAAACCTAACCCACAATGACTGGCTAGTGGATTTTACCAAGAGGGTGGTACTTCAGGCCAAGTCTTCTCTGGTGAGAGCCACTTAAAGGGTCTGTTTTAGTTGCTGATGGCATCAGTTGGCCCTTTGCTGAATGCGTTCCATTGACTTGCTAATTGACGGACTTTATTCCACCTTGATTCCACCTTGGTTAGGAATCTACGCAACTCCATTACAAATCGGAAAAGACCCTTCTTTTCTCTTTGGGTCTGTTAAAGGGGCACTTTACTAGTAAAATACTTTTTGGTGGGGGAGGAACCTCTGAAAAGCTGTAATTTTCCCTATTCTCCTTCAAAATGTGAATAACACAGGAGCAAAAGCCCTTTGTAATGTTTGATTTCTCAGGAATAGGCTCTGTAGTGTAGCTAGGAAATGCAGGGTCTCTATTAAGTTTAGTGATGGTCAGAAAAGTGACTAAAATAACATCTCTAGTCCTATGTTTATTCTGGCATGATTCACCTATGTATAGTATGAAGGACACTAGAGAAAACTGCTGTACTGTATGATTCCCATGTTGAGTCTGTTCAGCTCAGTTATCTCTAAAAGGCACTGCAAGTTCAGCCTGGTGCTAGCCCATGGCTTGTTTTTTCATTCTGCTTCATGCATCATCACCAGCAGTAGTTTCAAGTGTTTAGCTAGCTGTTTTAGAGATGAGGCAGAATACAGTGCAACTTGATTTTGCAGTGCTAATAGTAATTAAAACTTGGGTTTGTCCATGTATTAAGCAGGCTTGACATGGGAAACACAAGAAGGAAGTGTCAGTGCCATGGGCATTGTTAGTCACTTTTCTCATCGGAGTGATTCTCCTTATTTTGGTGAAGGGGTAACTCTTCCAACCATTGCACAGGGTTTCAGCTATTTTGACTTTTATAATAACTGTTGTGCAGCTGACGCACTCACAACAAGGAAAACATTTTTCTACGAGTGCAATACAACAAGAGCTTCCTTTATACCACAGTCATGTTAACGTGTATTGGCAGAGGCCATTCTGACTTCTTGAGCTGCATTTTTTTTTAAATACCTAGATAAGAAACAAATATCCAGAGAGGGAAGGATGATCTTGCTGGGCTAAGAATGTGGGTAGTTCTGGGTGTTCCTGGCTATGACACAGACTTCCTGTTTGACCTTAGGCAAGTCATTTAATCTCTCTGTGCTTCAATTCCCTATCTGTAAAATGGGGATAATAGTACTTCCCTACCTCACAGGGGTGTTGTGAGGACAAATTTAATTGATCTATGAGATGCTCAGATGCTATTGTAATGAGGTTTTAGAAAAGCCTAAAAATATTTTCAAAAGTGCAAGAGGTTGGTTCAGTCCTGTCACAAATGCAGCAATGGTATTCAAACACCAGCATTTTGCCATGACAAGTCTCCACTCTCTTGTGCTTTATTTTTTCCCCACAACTCCTGGACATGATGGTGCCAGGGAAAGTGGTGACTGAATAAAAATAGTGCACTCAACCTTTCTAGCTTTGCTGGGCGGCTTTGAAAAAGGTGTTCTTACCTGTTTTGCTCAGTTCTGTGTCTATAACCTTAATGTCCTCTAAGAATTGATTCTTTCTGCACATAAACTTTCAATTTCATTTTTGTGCCTCCTGCTGCTGATCAGTCTTAGTGATCAGTAACACGTGACACCAGCAACGTGGGGTGGATCCCAGCACTGGAGACTAAACTAGTTTCCATTCTGGTGTTCTAATGGTTGAATCAAGCAAAATCCGAACATCATTGCTTGTGGTTTAAAATGACAGTCAGGTTAAAGATGGTATTTTTAAAACGTGTTGTTTTCTGTAACTAATAAAACTGATAAAAATCTAATCTAATTTATTTTCACCCTCTATAACACTTGTTTACTACTTTCACTCTGCCTAGCTTCCACAAAGAAAATAGTGTGTTCACTTTCTCTCTGGATTTTAACCAGCAGTGCAGATACACTTAGATCCAGACTCGGTCTTCTGCTCCATTAAAATGGAAGGGAAGATAATGGAAACATTCCCATTTGTTAATTCTGATTTTATGTAATAGCCTCAAGTGTTTGTGCCCCAGACCTTACAGAACAGATTCTTCCTTATTACAATTGCTTTGCACTGCCCGAGCAGTACCCTTAAAGCTGCTTACTTTACTACTGGAGGGATCTCCTTGGGTGTTGCAGAACCACAGGAGCAGTTCCTACACCCACCCTCTCCTTGCATCCAGCAAGGCCAGGAGAGAGAGTGGCAGAGGTCAGGGTAGTCCTCAACTGCTGTATTGGCCCCTTGGCCTACTCTAACTTGTGCTTTGAAGGAGTACCTGTAAGATTGAGGTGCACAAAGGTAGTTTACAGCCATCTTTCCCTTGCATCATATTTCTCTCTAGCCCTTACTTTTAACCATTAAAACACAGGTCTTGGATAACACATTGCATTAGGGAAGGATCCTGTTCACATGCAGGGACCTGGGCTCATATTATAAACCTAACCATAATGGAAAATCAGTCCAACAATCTTCTCATAGTGCCTGCTGCTGTAGTTCAGTTGATCTGTTGTAGGGGATTCCACCCCATCATATTTGGGGACAGTCTTCACGTAGACCAGGATTCAGGAAACCTAAAACACTCCTACTGAACTAGGTTCAAAAGCATGTTTTGACCCTGGTTTGGAAAAGCAGCATTTCCAACTGCCTAAGTCCTATGGCCTCAGTGGTTTTCAAAATTGATTAGCTAAACTGGTTTTAAAACCAGTTATGAGTTTTAGAAAAACTTACTAGTGTAGACCAGGCGAGTCTGAGAGGATAGGGCAGTTCAGGAGGACATGGGGATGAGAATACCAAGGGAGGTGAGGTGCAGGTCCGGATGGAGGCGTCTCGCCACGGCTGCTGGAAGATAAATTTGTTTAACAGTCTCATTCTTTCTAGCTGTAGCCAAGAACTCTTTGCCTCCATCAAATACCAAACTCTGACATATAAAAAGAAGTTTATTAGGGGGGAGGAGAGGATGACTAATTTTTTGTCTTTCAAATGACCTGCTGGCCTGATCCCAGTTTTCCCATACTTGGTTTGGATTTATTTTTTATTTTGTTGCCTTGAGTGGATTAAAATGTTACAGTTTTTCCTTTTTAAAAAAACCAATAGAACAATAACAGAGAACTCAAAAGATGCAGTATTGCTTATTCATGAGTACTTTGGGTTTAAATAAATATTTTGCCATTCTTGCCCTTTTGCTTCCTTGTATTTGTGCTGAGGGCGGTTTGCATAGCTTTGAAAGAATGACCAGACTGATATAAGCAAGTGACTGCATATTTATGTTGAGCAACAGTCACTTATGTTGTAGAAAGAAACTTTTAAGGAGACTTCAGACCTGAGTGCCACCTGTCTCCTCATCATTGTTCATCTAACCATTGTCAATTTGTTTCATTATTTTGAATGTGGTACTCTTTGATTAAAAGATGAGTCTCAGTCCTGCTATGAGGTTAGAAGCAAGGATCTCTGACAGACTCCCTGAAAGCAAAGAGCCTTGGCACAGGTGGAGGGGTCCACGCTAGTGGAACTGATTGCAGAAGCAGTGCTGAGGGTGGAAGGAGTGAGGGACTGAGTACCTTTGGGGAACGAGTTTCTGTAATGGGATTTTATTTCATAGGGATATGCTAGGGAATGAGATTCAACCCAAAGCAATCTCTTAGACTTTTAAATAGTATTGCATCAACTACTGTTAAGCTCTTTCCAGCTTCTGCTGAATTGGTTGCACTGGTAGCATTGTTTCCTTTTCTTATCTGAAAGGAAAGTATGCTTCTGAAAATACTTGCCAGCCGCTTTGTAGTGCTGAGAGAGAGTGGCAGAACAATTAGCAATAAGCCTTTGTGACAGTCCCAAGACTCCAGGGTGTTCACAGCTCCAAAAAGACACTTGTTTTCTTTGCAAGTTTTGGTAACAGATATGACTTGGTGACAGCTCAAATGTGCATTTCTATTGTGAATTACTCTGTTCTATGATCTGGTTAATCTGCCTGCGTGCTCTGGACCTGGTACCACTCCTCTGTCCTAGATCAGCTTCCGAGGGAAGGATAAAACAATTTCCATTTACACCTGCTCTGCACAGCGGGCATCCCTTTTGCAATTCCCCTTTCATCTCTGGGCACTAAGAGTAAAATGCCAATTACCAGTAAATGAGTTTGATCTGGTGGCTGATCTAGGCTCCTACACTACATTGTGACTGGCAGCATGTCAGGGGAGGCCTGAGGAATAGGTAGCTGTACTGTCAGTCACTGTTGCTATAAATTAGATGTGTTTGGAATTACTTGCAAAGCATCTTCCTGACTGTTGCTCTTGTCTCTCTCACACCTGGCTGGTGTTATCAACTTTCTGAAAGTGGCTGTCAAATCTTCTGTATCTGTGTTCTCCTTCCTACCACAAGGCAGAAAAGATGTCAGGAAGCAAAAGTGAAGCTGTCCTTTCTTCCCTAGCTGTTGGCAAACTTAAAATGCCCCCAGTTTTAGGAACCTCAGCAGTTTGCAGTCAGACTCCAGTAAATTGGATGTGAAAGCGCTAGGCTTGGTTCCATACCAGTAAAATAACGTATGTAATTTAATTATTTTTGCATGTGTATCTTGTAGTATAGTATTTTCAGTTCCCCATTTTAATCTTCAGGGGGCAGTGTGATCCAGCATGGAATTGGCTCATGTTTAAAGAAACCAAACCTCCTACCTGGCTTACAGGCCAGTCTGATAATTTCCTGATTTCATAGTTTTGTAGGAAACTTCTAAATGACCCTGGAAAATGTGGACCTTGTGTCCATAAGCAGAATTCAGTCATCAAGAGATGAAAAAATTAAAACACTTTGGTTAAAGAAAGGAGTACTACATCTTTGGGAAGAGAGTATGGCATCCAGATAACGTTAATTCAATTTCTCTTGCATCCGTGACTGAGTTAGCTTTATCAGGTTCAACTGGAAGCTTTTCTCATTAGTCCCCAAACCTTCCCCATTCAAAGGAGGTGCTTAGGGTTTTTGTTGGTACACATCAGCATGAGGTGCCTAACTGTTCTTTTGTTCACTGCCCCTTCTTCCCTGAGCCTTCCCTTTTAGGATCTAGTATTTCTGTCCCAGAACTCTTAGTGCCTATTATCTGTAACAATTCTGCTCCTAAGTAAATTTTTAAAAATCAGTCTTTGACAAAGTGATTATTAGCCTTATCTGCCTACTCAGTATTAATTTTCCATGAATCATGATCTCAACACAGTGTTAAAATACTCTCTTTCTTTTGTGGTGGGACTCAAATGGCATCACAGACACATGGCTTGTGCACTTTCTTCTAGTAACCTACATGCCCCTAGGAATGTATGCTGCAGCCTCTAGTTGTCAGTGCCTATCTCTGCTTCCCTCTCTCTTCCATGTCATGAAAGGAGTCCCTTATGAACTCCTGCTGGAGGTCTTTGTTATGCTTTGGCAGGGGGAGCTCTGATGTGGTAAAGTTGAGATTTCTTGTAAGGCTTTATAGCACACCTCTCACAATGCCCTGTACTTTAGACTAAACCCCCTGCCCTGCCTCCTTTGCACATGAATTGGCATGACATTTTCATTTATGTTTGTAAAATGACCTAAGAATGCCAGCTTATAATATTGTGATTGTGGAAAGAGATACTTAATGCACAAATGCCATGTGATTTTAAACTTGTCCTTTGCCCCCAGCATTGTGATATAACACCAGGGGTTGAGAGGTATACTTTCATAGTCATTAAATAAGAAATCTCTGCCTCGGATACTAAAAGCGTGTGTGTGAGTGAGTGCAAATATAAATACGTATATGTGTGTGGGCGGGTGATTATAACGCACACAAATAGAGATACAAAATAAATATATTTTACTTAACCCGAGGAAGTCTGTTAGATTCTTGGATAGAAGTACCACAGGGAAGGCTTACTTTGCTAAGCAAGAAGAGCCAGCTGCTGCTGTGCACAGCATCTGTTTTAGCAGAGTGACTCTTTGCAAGACCTGTTCTAAAAGCCAAAATCCAAGGATAATTAACTTAAAACAGGAGCCATGTGGAACATGCAGCAGGAGTGAGCTTTAACCGTTGTTCTAATCATGCAAGGAGTGAAAACTCAAGGGCAGTGAGAACCTAGGCCCAATTGCTGCTGGGGATAGCACAGGAATTCCCCACCTTTTTTCCCAGGGCATTGCTGTGAGATGGTGATCCAGTGCCTTTCTTCACCTCAGACAGGAAGACAACTTTTGCAGCAATGTGAAGCAGCTGTTTCTTGGTCTGTGAAGGTGTCTTTGGAGAGCAAGGCCAATAATATAATGACTTATAGATATTCTTGATACATTTTAAAATCTAGTGATTTAAAAACAAATAACTTCTTCAAAATGACCTGCTCCTAGCTCCGCCTCTTCACCCTTTCCTGTCCTACCCCATCAGCCCTCTTCAGTTTGTTTTTTTTTTCCTTTTAAATGCGATTCTGGGTGAAAAGCAGAAACTGCCTGAGAAGTCTTTGGGCAACCTCTATACAATTCAGTTTTTTTTTTTTTTAATGTCCTTTGAAACAGGTATTTGGAAAAAAAACAAACAAACCAAAAGCTCTCACTGATGGTTGCTGTTACAATGAGATCAATAAAGATCTTGATTATATTAAGCTGTATTGTTGAGTTTTCTTTTAGCTGTGGTGAGTTTCTAGTCTGTGAAAGAACAGCTGGGGTTGCAGTTATATGGACTGACCACTTTAAACTGGTCCTAAACTTACTTTGGTTTGAAAGTCCACATGAAAACCCTTAAGTTATTATGGGGCCAGTACTATATATTTCCCTGGCAGGCAGGGAGATTTATACCTGCCCATTTTGCCATCTTATTTCCTGGACCTTCTAGCTGCCTCCTTAACAAGTCCACATTCATTCTAATCAGGTGGGGGAGGCTGCTCTTGGGCAGAATTTACCTTGAAAGGTTCATAACACAACAGGCTGAAATGCATCTTAGAGCTTCCCAGCCCTTGCTTCCTTAGGTTCTCCTTGTTCTCTTCTACAAAAGAAGTTGATCAGTTGATCACCCATGCCAGTCAGACTGCATAGCAAATGGTGTAGGGCACAGTGAGTCAAAATAACTTTTGGGCTTCAAAATGTAGGTTAGGAGTGTAGCACTAGAGCTTACCTTGCGCTCCAATTACTTATTAGCAGCACTACATTTAAGAAACAGCTTGTTTAGTTTTGCTGTGTTCAGTAAGACTTTCATACAATTTTGCTTCATGATTAATGCACTCTCAGGGTTAACTTGGCGCCTTCTAGTTCTCTCTACTTGGTATCACCGCAAATGTGTAAAAGGGACACCAGGGATCTATTTTGTAGCATGTTGATCTGAGATGAAAAGAAATGCAAAACTCTAAAATGCTTGGTTCAGAGGTGGTACCTTTTATTAGACTAACTAAAAAAAATAGTAAAACAAAAAATCTTTCTTTGCAAACTTTCAGGCACACACCCTTCTTCAGGCAGAGGAGAAATCAAAGATGTAAAAATCTTCTTAGCTAGAAAATAAACTTAATTTTGCACAGGGGAAGCTGAGGCTGGATATATGTTCCCCTGAGTCCCTGAGAGTCTGTGTGAGTTGCTCTTTGATGTGCAGAAGAGGCTGATCTTCCCTGGAGGTGTCAAATGTCAAAAGCAGGCAGGGAGGTACAGAAATCTTTCTTTCTGGCTTAACAATGAAGTTTATTTTCCCCAAAGTGACTAAAATATGATACCTTCCATTTTTTGGGGATCTATTTTGTAGCCGTGTTGGTCTGAGACTGAAAGAAATACAAAACTCTATAAAACTCTTGGTTCAGAGGTGATCACCAGCTTTCTGTCATCCCCTTAACTGTGCGCACATACACACAGGCTGATGATACAGCAATGATTCACACCAACTACACTCTAGTAAATATAGTGATACAATGTAAGGTAATGCATTACATTTCTGAAAATTCCTCTTTATCCTCAGGTTCTTTACAGTTGCACGTACACTGTCATGGATGGCTCTAGCGGAGAAGGGTATCAGTAAGTTCTCCCCATGCTGTGCATCATATCAAGGGGGGAAGAAATATTGGCCAGTGAATCAGAGCATGCTGGCAGATAAACTCTTTGAGTAGATGTGATATCTTTTTATTACACCACCTAAATAGTTGCAAAAAAGTTGTTCTTTGCAAGCTTTCAGACATGCATGTCCTTCATAAGGCAAAAAAAGAAATTGAAAATTGTGAGAGAAATTTTAAGATGGGAAGAAATCTCTCAGATATGAAAAAAGTCAGTCTTTAGAAAGCTGTTCCCAGGAATTCAAATTTAGAGGAGTTGCAGGGAACAAAAAAGCATGCTAGCAATCTTATAGAAAGTTCTTTGGGACATTTACTATTCTTTAAGTACAGATGACTTAGGCATTGAGTAGCCTTGGATGAAAAGATGAGAATCTCATCCTGATATGGCCTGACAAGGGTCCAAAGGAACACTTCCATTACATTTTATGATGGATCTTGTAGGTTTAGAAAGTAAGGGCAAAAGTGCTGTCTTGTCCCTTATAACTTCCCTTGCAGATGCTGAATGATCTCCAGACCCTATCTTTGGAGGACTGATAGTCGCAGAGAGCTCCAAAGTTTCCCCAGTTGGCAGCCATAGCCTCCTATAACCATGTCTTCCTCATGGTGGCCTCCTGTAGTAAAACCTGTCTTTTCTTATAATAGAGCATCTTAAGTGGACTCATTCTGACTGGACTGCAGTAGGAGGTAGGGGCTTGATTATCCTGTTGTTATTTCAGCAAACTCTGGAAGGGGAAAAAATTCAAATGTTGTGCAAAGGGATTTTTTCTAGTTGACTTTTGTTTTGGTTGTAGTTCTCTACAGGACTTTTGTACTGTGTAAGATTTTTGCTTGTTTGGATACTGAAGGAAGAATGCTGATACATTATTTGGATGGGGGAGAAGAGGTGGGAGGGGAGGATGGGCTGCAGTGTGGTTCACCAAATTTTTGTAGGACATGAAATTTAGCCAATAGAAAATACAGTATACAGCCTTTGAAATCAATAACATTGTTCCAGTGGAATATGTGATGGTAGTGAATAATGTAACATACTGTTCATTATTTTGCTAAGAAGCTTTTTCCTCAGATTGGGATAACAGTGTTCACAAGCTGAAGTTGTTATGCAGACTGAAAGAGCTATATGACTGCTAACCTGAGAAGTGATTGAATTTTCAGCTATAACTATTCAAGGAAGTTCATTTCTACTCAAGTCACAACTTCTTCAGCAGAACATGCCAAAGAACATTGTCAGGTATGTAGCATTTAAAAATTAGCCCTTGCATTTCTACTTTTCCTTCCTTCACTATTTACCCCTGGGAGCCTGAAATACTTTTCCTCTGATCAGGTTATAGACATGTCCATATGGTGTCAGGAATTGTTATGTGGAGGCAGCAGCCAGGGAAGAATGCTCATGAACGTTTGAACAGGGCTCATAATGTCTGCAGGTCTTCTATCTATAATGTTTTCCATGGAAAATATACCAAGTAACTTAACCTGTAATTATTTCAGAATTTTAAGAGGGATCTACAAATAAAATATGAAAATTCCATCTGCTTCAGCAATAGCTGATGGTATCCCTAAGAAGGAGCCCTGCCCATCATTATAGATTTCATAGATGTTAGTGGCCAGAAGGGACCTCATGAGATCATCGGGTCCAGCTGCTCTGCCATAGGCAGGAAGGCATCTGGGATCAAGTGACTCCAGCAAGAAATATATCCAGCTGTTTTTTGAAGGAGACCAGAGTAGGTGCTTGCACCACCCCTTGAGGGAGTTTCTCCAGATCCTGGTTACATGGAAGGTTTAGTGCCAAGGAGGTCCTCCAGGGATGGACCAGAAGGGTTTGGTTGGCTTGCTTGGTACTTTAAAGACTGTTTTAGTTGTGGGGACTGACTGAGAAGGTCTCTTGGGAGCAAAACCTGCCTTAAGAAGCCAGCAGGCCAGGCAACCTGCTTGGAGCCTTGGACTCTTCCTAATTATCAGAGGTCCTCCATTAACTCAAAAGGAATCCTTAGTCTTACTATCCAGTTAGCCAGGCAGTCAGTCTGTATTGTAGCAAACAATAAGATGCACAGCTCAGATGATTGAAGGGAAGAAGCACTGCATTATAATCATTTTTGTGTTGGTTTACTATCCTTTGAACTAACAGGAAAAACGTAAAGGATGTAAATTAATCTTTAAATTGTAATCGTCAAAAAAAGTAATGTGTGCTAACTGCAGAACCACTAGCACAGTAAATGCTAGGACATTTACTTCATATTTAGGCTGTTGGGAGCCAACAGGTCAAGTGGAGGGGAGGCTGTAGTAGAAACTTGAAAGGAAATACAAAACGAAATGTTTAGGTAACAATGCACCTTTTAGCTTAACTAAAAGAGGCACTTAGCTGGTATTCATTAAAGTAGTTGGAATGGTATATTGTATTTGCAGTCCACCTCTACTGGTAGTATGAGACCCACAGCATATTATTCTGATTGAGTACCCATTAAAACCACTTCCAAGACTGAGCAGTTGTAAGGAATGGAAGTGTTCTAGCCCTGCATGACTACAGTTAAGTGGTTGCTTTTTTTAAAAAGCATTTTCCAGTGAAGGTTACATTTAGAGGGGCTATTCCAATACTCTCTTAACACTGATGTAACTCCATTGACTGAAAAGGAATAACAGAATCAAGCTGTAAAGTTTTAAACAGGCTCTTAGGTTTTATTTTGTTTTAATAAGGGAGGGCTTTTTTCTAAACACGATTCTACTCAAAAGACAAGAAAGAGGATGATAACATTATGAGCTATGCAAGATATATTACAGTAGACCGAAAAAACTACTTCTGAAACCAAGGAAGATACATTTATCTTTAAAGAGAAATGTATTCTCATGTGCTCTAATATATAATGTATTACATGATCAGTTTTGTGTTTTTTTTTCACTTCCCTAGTTTTGTATTGAAATCATGCTCTAAAAATAGCATTTACTGCATTTTACACTGATGAACTATTTTATTCCTATTTTCAGTAGACTGTGCAGTGCAAATCTAAGATGATATAACAAGCATGATTCACATAGCTGAACTGTAGCACAGCCATTGTTCTCCAATACCTAATTTTGTCAGTTGGGAAAGGGCAACACATGGGAATTTTCTGATCCCCACCCCCCCAGCACAGCTGGTCAAAAATAGCGGGGGAAAGTACAAAACCTTTTTTCCTAAAGTTTCTATTTTCTCCACAATTTTCAGATTTCAAAATTCCAGCAACATCTGGCAAAGTCATAACCCCAGTGTTCACTCCCTACTTCTAAAATGTCAACATCTTGAAATTTGGCATATTTCAAGCAGCCCTGCTCTCTCTGGGAGAAATGCTGTAGGATTACACTGGAATGCACTTCTGGGCAGCTGCAGGTTGTTGTATAGCTTGCACTACTATTGGGCAGCAAAGCAGTATCAGCTAAGGAAGAATAAAAGCCTGGGTTTCCATTGGGCAATGGAAACAGAGAAACTAGCACAAATCTCTCTGGGATTTTCCGTAGAAAATGGCTAGTAGCCACCTGAGATTTCTTGGAGGACTGCGTGGGAAAGTGTACTTTAAAGACCTCACTTTACCTATCCAGTCCCAACT